CGATGTTGCGCAAGGCCACCATGCACAATTCGCTCGAATTTCAATCGTCATCATCATCATCATCATCATCATCACCATCGAGCGACTATTTTGGGGGAGGGGCGAGGGGGCGAACGAGAGAGAGAGAAAAAAAGAGATGTTCATAATGTACACGTTCGTGTTACGTCTTTGTGGTGTTAAGAGAAACAACGCACAAGCATTCGTGTACAAGTAAAAATGCATAGAAATAGTAACGATGTTGCGTCTTTCTCTATTCCTCATGCTTCTCCTCGTCATCATCGAGTTGTATGAGTACGAGGATATATCGAGGGAAGTAGTTGTAGTTGTTGTATTAATAGTACTGTTGGTGATGTGATGGTTGCGGCGAGTGCACAGAACAAGAAGAAAAAAGGTCAAAAAAAAGCTGTACGCCAAAAGCGACCACGTACGGACTCGATGTGCGTATGTGCATGTATGAACTCTCTTGTCGCCGCCACTAGCGTCGTCATATTTACAGCAAATGCGTTTTTTTTTATTTCTTTCGCGTCGAAATTTTTATTCATTCATATGTGCACACAGCTGTTGACTTTGATAGTTTACGCAACGTTCGACTCATTCGATATTCATACATATGCGTTTACTTTCTCTACCTCATCTATTTAATATTTTGCATCAATATGCACAAAACGCACGGTGTAAAAAAGAAAATCGATTTATTATGGTCACTAGTGTACAAATAATAATAATGACGTGTGCATGCGTATGTATGTGCGTGTGTACATATGTTGCTCCATTAACTAGTTTGATGATTTTTCATTATGAAATCAAAGAATAAAAACAAATGGAACAGAATTGTATACTGTGAAAATAAAAGATTAAGCTCAATAAATCTCAAGTGATCACATGTCGAAATTTTCGCATGTGTAGAAATCTGTTTGTGCATATTAGTTTAGAAAAATGATCGCTTTTAACCATGATCAATAATTTGTAAAGAAAAAAAGCACACTATGTTCATCGCTCTATGATAGAACCAAAAACCAAAAGAACTAAATCATAAAAAGAATTTTGCTTTTGCGTTTAGGTCCAGGTGTCCTGGACGTTCCATCGCCGGATGTTGGGCTCGATGTTAAATTTGGTTTTAATGATTTATGTCCTGTCTGTGGTGACAAAGTCAGTGGCTTTCATTATGGTCTTCTGACATGTGAATCTTGCAAAGGTTAATAATTTTAACTTTTTTAAAAAGAAAAACTAAAGACAAAAGAAAGAAAACTTAAAATTTACCTTTTTTTTGATTAATTAGGATTTTTTAAACGAACAGTACAAAATAAGAAAAATTATCAATGTATTGACAAACAACAGTGTCAAATCGATAAAACTCAACGAAAACGTTGTGCTTTTTGTCGTTTTAAAAAATGCTTACAAGTTGGCATGAAATTAGAGGCTGTTCGAGAAAATCGTGTACGAGGTGGAAGAAATAAATTTGGTCCTTTATATCGTCGAAGTCGTGCATTACGTCAACAAATAATGCGACAACATTTTGTAAGCATGGTTAAGGCACAACAAAATATAATGCCCAATGGTAATGGTATTGATAATGTTCATACACCTTTGGATATAACTGGTGTATCAAATGGTAATGGCATGCAAGTTAAATCTGAGCCTGAACAGCCAAATCTTCATCCATTTCAACATATGTATTCGAGTTTACAAAATCCAACAAATGTTGGTCATTCGTCACATGTTCATCATCAAAATCATCATCCACATCATCCATCTTCGGCACATCATCCACATCATTATCAGTCATCACATCAACAACAAAAATCTTCGTCGACATCAGCATCATCATCAACATCGTTTAATGTTTATCCAGATTTTTTTAATACAAATACAAATATTACAAATAATTCACGTATGCCACCATTTCAATTAAATCCATTTAATAATTATTACAAAACTCCTTCAACAACATATGGACATTCACCACCATCGTTACTTTTACAGCCAACATCATCATCATTGCCTTCTGGTGTATCATCAACAAATACATCAACAAATAACAGTAATCCAACATCAGGTTCATCGAATTCGAGTTCATCACCTGTTGGACAAATATCATCGAAATTACTTGATTATCAAATTTCATCACCAACAACAACAGTAACAGGAACAAATGGAAATAATTCAACATCAAATACATCATCTATATTGAGTACATTAACTATGCAACAACAAGCCATTGCTCCAAATGATCCAATGAATACAGATAATCATACAGGAACATCATCGATCTATTTTTATAATAATCAGTATTTAGCACCGAGTTATGATATGAACGATTCTAATAATATACCAGAAATATTAACAAAACTTATTGAATCCGATCAAGCTTATCGAGTATGAAATTTTCTTCTTTCTATTAAGATTATTGAAATATTTTTATTGTGTTTTTATTTATTTTTAGTGTACTGAAGTTCGTTATATTGAAGATATTCAACAAATTCATGTTGATTTAGCACGTGATGATGGTGATATACTAGTTGTATGTTCACTTTTGGATAAATTATGTTTTCTTATGGTTGATTGGGTATGTATAAAATAAAACAAGGAAAATAAAAAATTTTTAATTATGTCTCATTTTTTTTTATTTAGGCTCGACAATCATTGTATTTCAAAGATATTCAAGTAAGAATTCATTTTTCTATTACGATAATAATTTATTATGTATACATATATATTTAATATCATTATAGATTGATAATCAGATAAAATTATTAAAAGCAGCATGGATTGAAATTTTAATTATTGACCTTATATGGAAACAATGTCAACAACCAAAAGAAACTTGTTTAAATTGTATTGTTAGCGTAAGTTTTCAGTGATTCCTGTTTTGTTTTTAATAAACTTTTGAATTATAATATTTTTGTTTCAATTATTTTCTAGGCCAATGGTCAATTATTAAATATAAATTTAATTCAAAATCCAGCTGTTAAAAAATTAGCCGAAAGATATTTACAGTGTGTTAATGATTTTCGTCAACTACAGTGGCAAGTATGTATCATGCTGACTTAAATTGCATCAGATATTTATTGTGAACTTTCTATTTAGTATCCGGAATATCTTGCATTAAAATATTTAGTACTCTTTGATCCAGGTTAGTATTGAAAAAAAATAATATTCAATAGAAAATCGAAATGAATACCTTAATTGAAATAATCATATAGTATTAATTTTATTCATTTGTTTGATTTTTATTATTAATTTCAATGAAATCTATACTGTGACTGTGCAATTTTTTATTGTTTGAGGTGTAGAAAGCTTTTTGTTTTATTTCCTGAGCAACTGAAGCTGACACAATAAGATATTTATCTCACACAATGTATGATTTAAAAAATTCGAAACTTTCAATTCATAAAGATAGTAAATTATATTAACTGAATAGTCTTAGATATAAATTTGCTGAACTTTTTGATTGTAAGAAAAATCAATTGTAACGATGAAAAAATTATTCGAATATAAAACATTGCAACAATATCTTTTCTTAAGTATAGTTGCTAGCAGCAAAAAACACATATTCGCCTACTCTCACACTTTTTTAAAGATCATTTCTTTTTTATATTAAAATCTATAATATAAATAACTATCGCAACACTTCGTTAATATCAGACAAAATTGCAACACCGAATGTGTACAACTTTAAAAAAATGAATATTCATCGTTTTTATTTAGATGTTCAAGGTGTTACTGAATCAAGTCTAATTGAAGAAGTTCAAGAAAAGATTACTAATGCTTTAGGTGAATATACAACCGATCATAATAATTCATCATCAACATCAAATCCAACAAAAACATCTCCAAACCAACAACAACAACAGATGCCAACAAATGAACAAGAAAAATTTGCTTGTATTTTACTTAAACTGCCCGATGTACGTCTTGTTGGAAATGATTTAAAAAAATTATTACAATTAATTGATCGTAAACATGATGGTAAACTTCTTGATGGTTGTTTACTTGGCGAAATGCTCAATGGTTTACAATCAAATAGTTAATTTAAAACAATTCATCAATAAATTATTGCACATATATTCATATATATATGTGCTCATTTTGTTAATCACTCAGGTCCGACATAATTCTCTAATTCTTTATTTCAATGCTTATTTGCATGTTAATAGAGATAATTGTACAGTTTTTCTTTCTATTTGTTGTTTCAAACAAGCACATCCAAATTTTTCCTTTTTTTCAGTCACCCTTGAATAACAGTGTTTATATGAGAAAAAAATTAAGAAAAGAAATAATAATCATATTTGTAACGAAAATATTTCGTTCTTTTCTTTACTTTTTTTTTAAACAGTGACATGTTCTCTCACTCTCTTCATCCGCGTCATTAATTTGTGCTCATTTTCCTTCTTTTGTTTTTAAAATTTTAAATCTATCTATCGATCAGAGAGTTGTGCCATTTTTTCTCGTTTTCTTTTTCTTTTTGCCTTTTCCCTGTTACTTTGCATTATTCGTCGAAATTTTAATAGTTATTTGCTTTTTCATTTTCCTTTTGACCGACTAATCGATCGACGACTCTACAACACAGGCAGATGTTTGGCAAATTCACGATATTTGTTGTGTTTTTTTTTCGATAAAAGACTAAGGAGTTACATATTTCATATATATATATATATATATATAAATATTGATTATTATCTAGAAGATTGGCTGGGAATCGATGCTTTTTATGCAAAGTATTGACTTATAAACTATGCACTAAACATATATGTGTATTGTTTTTTCTTTTGTGTATCTATATCTATGTCTCTTTCTCAGGGATATACAAGTAAAATCTTTTCTTTTAATACGATCTCGTACCAAACAGAGCCTCGCCCTTTTTCGCTATCTTTTAATTTTGTTTTTGATTGTGAACACCACGTGTATTGTCACTCGTGTGTATACAAATATTTTTTTTTGTGTGCGCGTTTGTTTTTTTTTTTGAAAATAAGAAGAATAGAAACATAAAATCTTAACAGTTACAAGGATATGTCTGTTTTAAGCATAGCGATTGAACGTTGAATTGTATCATCCTAAAATTTAAAAAAAGCCGAATAAATTATAAAGAAAGCCATGGAAACAATTAAAAGCAGGTTGATAAGAATTCACTCAAGACATGATAAAATTCATTTGATATAGGAACACTTCTATGAAAACAAATGATACAAGTAAGGATTATGATTTGTTGTAGAAAATATCTTCTATATTTGTATCAATTGAAGAAATTTTCATATTGCATTTGGATGATACAATATGGTAATATTGATCGATTTGATAAAGTAACAGAAGAGAATTTTAAAGTGAGAAACTAGTTGAATGTATTTCTTATGGTATGATAAAAACTCTAGTACATCCTAACAATCATTGAAAGGTATGCGTATTAAATTTGAGTATTATCTGAGAAAAATAGCAACGCTAAAACAATGTGAGCCATTGGTATTTTTATCTTTTTATTCTTTTTTTAAATTTTTATCCAAATATTGGATTTTGCTTTTAATTACGTTAATATGTTGATATTCCGATTGACAAATGGCAAAGTACGGTTGTGTACTTATAACATGAGATTTAATCTATGAAATTCTACTGATGCAATAAGAAACCTTGATGGTATTTTGGCGATAAAAGAAATACGTCAGATATTTATATTTATTAAAACTGTAGCATTCAATAAAATAGTTCATCTCCATTTAACTGAATTGTACTTATATATGAAGAAGTCTGGACTTTTTTCTCGAAAATTAAAGGCGTGTATTTATTAATTAGCATATTTCCGTATCGTTTTTTATTTTATCATTGATACGATAAATTGTAATTTTTGTTTTTGTAGGGAAATTTCGATTAAAAAATGATAATTTCAAATAAAAAGAAACATGATAGTAAACATATTGTACATTTAATAGAAACAAAAACAAACGACCAATAAGTTTATTGAACATCCGAGTCTTATGACGATACTTTATTACTATATAAAAAAAGTGCTTTTAATTATTTACGAAGGTACGTTCATCTTCAACATATTTTTTACTTTACGTCAAGGAGTAAGATGAGGTCTTCTAGTTAAATAACTTATTTTCTTTTTGGAAATGATACGAAGTGTTAATTACCATCTAATTCTATTATAAAATTCTATCCTATCCTATTCATTATAAAAAAATCCAGAGTTCTAACTTCTGATCTTTATGCATTTGTAATCGTAGTTCTAACATCTATGCTTCATGTGTCATTCTTTGCTTTTTGTTTTTTGTGCTTGAAAGATTTCACTTTATACTCATAGCTACTCATTATCTGCTTAGTCATATATGAAATAGAAGTACCATTAAGAAAATAATAGATGTTTTTGATCTTTGTTTTTATATTGCGGCGATGTGCTATGATGTTCCCATTTATAGCTCAAGAAAAATTACATCGATTTGCTAGTCGGATACAGAACATTATTTCTCTATAGATTAGAACAACTCAAGAGAACGCTTGATGCATGATCAGCACAAGCATTCTTGTTAGTAGTAAGTGCATGTACCAAAAGCAAAAAAAGAAACGGAAGACATTAGCTCTCCAGCAAGGAATGTAGTGTTGACTCGTATAGAAATTTACATTTATTATCATGTTATTCAAAAATAAAATTTTTCAGTCCACTACGTAAATTATAATTCGTCATTTCTCTTTCGTCTATTTGATATATTGCAGGTCATTTGAATGAATTCCTTGTTTTTGCTGTTGCTCTCATAGATCTGCCCTAATCAATGAGTTAAAAAATAAAAACGACAAACCTGCAAACAATATTGCAGAAAATCTTCTTTATACACAAGACCATTGCCATTTTTATCCCAACTCTTCAAGAGAAAACATAACGAAAATAGATAATTTTAGAATATGAAAGTAATTCATATACTTGAAATAATTTATCTGTACGCTCTTCAATAGCACTGGCAACAGATGCAAAATTAACTTTACCAACCGGTACCATTAGTTGAAAAATCGATGCAACTATTTGACTTAATTCCTGATTAGAAATACAAAGAGAAACATTAAGAAAAGAAAAAGAATCTATTGTATTTAACCGTTCTTGTCAGCATTCCATCTTTATTTAAATCATATAAGTCAAATATCCAACCAAGACGAGCTTCAACAGAACCATGAATAAGTATGGATAATGTTGCGATCAGATCTTCAAATCGAATAAAACCACTATTGGACCGATCAATATTTCGAAAAAGAAATGTTGCATAACGAAAACATTCTATGATGAAATATTGACTCCAGTTTTCAATACATGAAAAATAAAAATGGAAAAACACACATACCGCCACCGGGAAATAATGTAGAGAATATTGATGAAAAATGAGCTTTGCTAACTTCACCCGATGGACAATCCTATAATGAGGTTTTTTTCATTTAAAAGAAAACGATTAAAAACCTCAACAATATAACCATACTTGTTTGAACGATCGATATAGATGTCGAATTTCATCTTTTGTAAAACTCGTTTTACGAAGAAGATCTGCCATTGAACAAGTTGGTTTTCGTACTGGATTTATCGATGCGGGATTTTCTGTTAATAATAAAATGAATAAATAAATAAATAATAAAAAGGGCATATTTATTGATTAATGAACTACGTAAAAGGTGAGTATATAGATGTTTTTTGTTTACTTGAACGTGCTTTTAAACTTAAGTTTAAACGACGAGCTCTGTTGAGTGTTTGTATTGACGTTTCGAACGCTTGCCACATGATTGCAGATTTTTTTAATCCGTATTTTTGTTTATGTATATGTTTATGAATAAAAAAGAGCTTAAATCATGTACTAAGACTGTTAGTGTGTCTCTGATTATTGTAGCAAAAAAACAGAGAAGAAAAACGGAAGAAAAAAATCTCACGAGAAATCAAAACGAATTCTGATAATGATGACGACGACGATGATTGCTTAGGAAGTTCCTGTTTAAACAATGGAAATCAATAGACACGATTCTTACCATTTTCAAATTTGTAACTGTTACCACTATCACCTCCGCCTCCACCTGCTGATCTTACAACATTCATCTGTGTAGCTTATGATCAACTGAAAAATAAAATGAACATGCACTTTGTATTGTTAGTGTAAAAGGCAAAAATGAGAATGACACTTTCAAGTGTTGAGCAAGGCTCTGTTGTTTTTTTTCTACTTTTTTCTTCTTTTGTTCACTTGCGAATGATTACCTTTTTTTTCTCTTCTATTATCTAGCCCTGAAGGATGAATGTGTATACGAGTATGTTCTGCATATGTGATTTCCGTCATAGGGTCACTGACTGATTTTTTCCTCAGTAATAAGCTAATAATTTTATTCTCGATTTACATTGAAAAAAATTTATCATTGAATATAACATAGTTCTGTTAATAGGAAAAAATAATATTGTTCTTTTCTAAAGCAAGATTTTGTTTTTAGAATGCTTTTTTCATACATGAACCTGCAAAATAACATGAAAAACTATCCTAATTATTGCGTTACTCGATTAATTTACTTTTTTTCTCTATGAATAAGAATAATAACATATCCTACCAAGAACTTTTTGTCGGTAAAAAATACGACAACAAATAGAATACGGAAAGGCAAGACTATTCCGGATAATAAATGGTACTAACTAAATCAAAGCGAATAGCAACAACAATTGGTTTCAATCACGTTTCGCCTGAATAGATGAAGGTTATGGCCAACTATTCCTGTTACTATTAGATATGATGACATGCGCCAATGCGCGCATGTCTCATATAGCAATCTGAATGCTAAACGATGCGACAATTGTTGAAGCTAGTAGTATTTAGAAAGCAAAGAAGGAAAGCAGTCGACGACGATGATGGCGATAACAGAGAAGAAGAAGAAGACGAAGACGAAGAAGGAAGTAAACGGCATTTTCCTATCAAATGCACAAATTTGTTAACAAAAGATTAAATGTACTGCAGGCATTTACATTATAATATATGTACGTTGACACCGGAGTATAGATCAAATTCCATTAAGAAAATCGCACATTAATGTGTCACGTACACAATCATTCATTTAACATAATCGAGAAATGTTTTCCTACAACTTAACAAACAAAGTAACAGATAAAAATTGATACTATATATTGTATTTCAATCATATCAAGTAGATTTTATTGCAAACGATAACAACAGTAATTGAATCTTCAATAACTGTTTATACGTTAAAGTTTGTTTTAAATCGAATAGGAAGCCATAGAAGAAAACATATGTAAAACTTATAATCTAAATCAAACTACCTTAGAATTTCTGATATGACATTGCGTTGATTTGTCAATTAACATAAAAATAATTGAATTAAATGATATTTATTAATAAAAACTAAATCAGACTAAGTGATTTTTGTTCGAAAAAATTAGATTTTATCTCAGTTACAAGCACTCATAAGATATTTGGTAATCAATCAAACAAAATAAATCGTGAACTGTTTCGAACCAATAGAAGGCTTCTTTTCCCTAGATAATAATCATTCTTTTAATCAAAACCGTTTGCATGCACTTTATACAAGTGTTTTTACAATCGAAAATCATACTATTAATTATATTGACGTAGTTTGTATGCTTTTATTACTTGCCGAATATATGATTCGATATTTCTCTCGTAATAGTGTTCACGTATTAATCTACACTTTGAAACAAGGAGTGTATAGGCTAAATATTAGTTGTCGATGTCATCAACAAATTATTGAGTGAACTGTTCTAAAAATAAAAAACTATCTAGATATCGAAATCAAATAATCTTCTAGTTTTAGTGCAATGAAAACTCAACTGTCAAGCATTGATTCAATGTAAATTTTTGGTTAATAAATAAGATTTTTGTCTGATTAATCGAAATTTATTCCGTGTTCAGTGAATTTTATGATATGATCTCTTCAGTGCTTACAACGATATTAATAATAACCTGATCTAGGACATTCGTGTTTGATTATTTTTGTTTAGCTTTCAAAGATAGTTTTTAAAAACTGCAAAAAACTACAGTGCGAATGAATGTATCTAAGATTAGATATTGAATGGCTAAACAACCATAAAGGCAGCTGTTATATCGTACAGACAAAAGGATGGAATCTATTTAACATAGATATTGAATATGAAAAGAAAAATAGCTTTGTTTGAACTGAAACTTGTTAGAACTTTTTACCGATTTTAAAACATGTATATAAATAAATTACCAATGAAAAATCTCTTAATTTAAATTTTGAAGAATATCTACTTTGAATATAGTAATTAGGAAATAAACCAATAATTTTAGCTAAATAATTGATAAATCACAGCCTATATTCAAGTTTCCATCGTTTACATCCAGTACTACTTCTCAGCTGTGTATGTGCTCAAATGATGTTCTATAATTAAGATTTTTTCCCAATAAGCTTGATTAAAGAATAAATGTTTATATATCGGAAAAAAATTATTTGACATGACTGACATTTTCATTTTCTACTTATCGTTATTGCATATGTAGGAAAGTACCATTATTGACACATACTTAAATAGGATTCGATCTTGAATATTGTTTGTTTCTATGTTCAATATCGTTTCATATAAGTATTTTCTATTGTAATTCAGTAATATTCATGTAAATTAACAATGAAAAATTAAAATATATGCACATGATCTACTGCTTGAATGAAAATTTTATATGATAAATAGTCTTTTGAAACAAACTATGGAAAATATCATTTATTATTATTTTTTTTAATCATTTCATTCTTATCTGTAAACCACAACAAAAAAGAAAATAACGATAGCAAAAATCTATTTTATTTCATATTGATTTGCATAACTCTGCTTTATCTTTATAGTCGCATCAACAAATCCATTCATCTTACATTTCCTTTCTTTAGAATATATCTACTATTCCCAATTTCACCAATTGATTGCCATCTATAAACAAGTGTATAGACAAAGAATAAGAATCATTAAACATCATACTGATAAATCCAGTATACTTATATTGTTATTACTCGCTTATTTGAGTGGAGTCTGAGTCGTAATCTTGAAATGTCATGGTTGATGCACAGCAGGCAAAAAACATGTTGTTTTATCTTCCAATTCTACTAAAGACAATTACAGAACTCTGAAAAGAGCATAATAATTAAACATATGGATTTAATATTGCTAGTTTCGACATTCTCTATCTGTACAAATAAAGACACATACAAGATCACAAACAAGAAGAAAAACAAATAGATTTAAAAAGAAAACATGAACGAAAAAACAGAGAATCAGAAGAAAATCTACTAAATTCGACCAGGATCATCTTGTAATGAAAAGTAATACATTTGTTTATTTGTTGTTTGTCCGCCAGCTGTACTACCAATACCGAAAAAACTAGTTTGTGTATCCAATAAATTGATTCTCTACAATGAGATTATAATAACAAAGGTTATGGATAATAAAACTTAAGCGGAAATTATCCAAGAGACAATCATTTAGTGTTTGTTCATCCAGAAAAACCGAGAGCATGATCTAAGAATAAGATATCTTCTATCGTTAATTGACTCGTGGAAATGTTATCATTTTAGTCGACGAAAAAGAAGAAAATGACAAGAGCGACATGCGTAACAAATCACTTTCTGATGGAAAACACGTACGCACATATCATTTAGTATCTTATACAAATGAAGGGAAAGAAACAATGAGAATAACATCTGTTTGACATTGAGAGAGTGAGAGAAGGAATATGGAAGTTTATCAATATGACAGTCGTCGCAACGACGTTTCTCATAAAGAAGACATGATAATCTAACAATACAATGTTTATATATATATATATATAACTTTTTTTTTTACCGATTGCTGATAGACATTGTTAATTAAGCAGATCGAGGTACAAATATACGTATGGATTCAATCGTCGTCAGAGAACATGAAGAATGATGGCCTGTTGATAGAATTGTTCCAAACCACTTTTTCTCTCTTAGTGTTACTTTGATTGATCTACGTAAAACATGTATAATCATTAAGGCGGGCTTGACAAAATACAGAGCGCTAATGTACGCATTATATATGGATAATATGACATGTAAAATCAGACTACTAAGGAAATAAAAAAGATAAATGATAGTGGACAAAAAAATTATAGAGCACATACAATATGCATCTGGCTGCAGCATATATATTTATATAGATAAATATGAATATAATCGTATAATTAAGGCAAGAATTTTTAAAAGTTATAAATATTAGTTGTGGTGCCCTCTAATATTTAGTGTCAAAGTAATCTGTAATGAACCATTGATGAATGCAATTTATTGAAATTTAAGAAGCAAAACCATGTAGATATAAATACTTTCCCCAAAATATCTCTTGCTTTGCTTTATTAATCATTTCTATCTTTCATGAAGCTCAATATCATGCATATGCGTGACAAAAACGAAAGAAAAAAAATAAAACGAACAGAAAATCAAAGATCAAGTTTTACAGAATACAAAGTTATCTCACTCTTTTAAATATCATCACGACCAGCACCCGAGTCGAACAGGCGCCCACTCACCTGTCTTCCTCCACCTTGGCCAGTCCTTGTTGATGATTGATTAACTGCTGATGAAACACCCGATCCAGTAGTCGATCCAGGCCCACCAGCACTTCCTACGCGTTTATAAAACTGCCATAATTGTTGTATCAATTCTGTGACAACTAAATCACTTGAATTATACGCAAGAAGTCTTAATATAAGTACGCCATCATGTTGTAAGTAACGATGTATGAATTCTTTTGCTGGCATTCGTCGTAGATGTGTGTCACTTTGCATTAGTTCAAGGCGTTTCTTTATATAAGCATAACGTACTCGACCAAATGAACGAACAAACCATGCCAATAAATCGTATGTATTACATACAGTTAAAAAGGCTAACCAAAACCAAATAAATAAAAATGCTTTTTCATTAAACAGATTAATTGGTAGCACACACTAATATGTAGTAAAAAGAAAAAGAAAACAGATATATTTCTATTTTAATTCTTTTGTTTTTGCAAACTGACCTGTACGGTATGAACATGAACATTTTGTATATTTCTAACGG